GACGGGAGAACTCACAACCGCTACCCTTCAAGTGCGTACTGAGTAAACTATCGGACTGACGTAATAACCTGCAGACCACGCCAACCAAATAAATCGTACTTCCTCGCTCAATCTTTGTTGATAAGTTTGATTGTTTAAAACATATTTTCCAAACTTCTGTTTGTTACAAAAAATTTCTTAAAAAAAGATTGAACCCCAACCTTAAGGGCCCCCACCGACCCTGCCCTGGGCCATCGTGGAAGAGGTAAATCGCAGGATGTGCCTCCCAGGAGCCAGGGTGGAGAGCATATGGATAGGTCAAGACTGTTAACCATATGGTAACTCCCGCTTGCAACAAAGTCAATTCCACCTTGCGGGGAATCGAACTCTGCACACTGCCGCGCTGAGCCCTATCCGTCCTCCCCTTTGCCACTGGGAGATATGCCCTGGGGGCTTGTTACAAAAAATTTCTTGTATATATGTTTGATTGTTTGAAACATATTTTCCGAACTTTTGTTTGTTACAAAAAAATTTCTTGTATATATTTCTAAACTTTACAAATTTCACTTTTATCCTCAGCCTTCATTTCTATTTTGATAGTTTTACCCTCAATATGGTCATTTCCTCTTAAGGGTTTTCTTTGTGGCCTAAAAGAAAGGAGCGAAGGAACAAGGGCTAACTACCACAAAACTAATTTCTGGCTATCCATTACAAGAAGATTTGGTGTTTCGTCAGGTCAAGTTGACAAAACATAATTTTTATCAATTTATTACTTTTATACACATTTTATCCTAACATTTCGTAAGATTCACTACTTTTAACCAATAGGGAATTTAGGATTCGAATACAGGGAGGCATAATTTAATGGTGGAAACATTTTCAAATGCAAAATACATAATAATTTTAAAAGTATAAAGTAGAAAAAATTAGATGTCATCAAAAACAATTTCTCGAATTTCAATGGTGGATAGGAATCCCATACCCTTGGCTTTTGCTTGTAGCCCCACCTAACGTACACGTAATATTTCTAAATTAAGCGCCCCCCAGGGCACATCCAAGTTGGCGAAACAATCACATTGGGGGGCTCTGGAACCAAGTGTGGGGAGTTCGATTCCCGATTGGAGCAGCTAAGTGATGTAATAATCAGAGGAAGGGTTGGAGCAGCTTGGTGATGTAATAACCATGGAGGAGGGTCCCTTTGGGGAAGGAGTAAAAGCCATGTGGGAACCTGAGAACCAACAAGGGCACAACCTGCTATTTACCTCCACTAGTCACTGAGGGGCCGGGGGCTAGAGGTCCAGGATTTAGTCCAACTAAGGTGGGACACCTGGATTATCAAAAAAAAAAAAAAATATTTCTAAATTAAGGGATAATTGTAGCAAATGTTTCAAACCTTTAAAACACTAACAAATTTTTTCCAAACTTTTAATTTGTTGCGATCGTCACGTCTAACATTTTCAAACGTTGCAGATGAAGCCCTTCTAAACAGTTTTCATCCAAATTCAGTCAATTGACCAAGAATTTTAACTTTGAGCACATTATAATCAATTTCAATGAGGATAAAACGGTACTTTCATATTTACCATATTAAAAAACAAAAGAAATGGAAAATCTGTACCTTCTTCTTCCCAAATCCACCCAATCCATCCCAATCACCACCACCACCACCACCAACGGTTACATTCTTCTGGCCCCCGGCACTCCTCTCAGAGTAGACGAAAAAACCATCATATACCAAAAATAATCACAGCATATCAAAATCCAAACCAAATCAAGAAACCCATGTCCCTAAACATGAAAATCAGTGGGGGAAAAAAATTCAGGCATATTGCTCAATTGAGAACTGCCTGCGCAACGCAACTAAATTCTTGCCCTTACCAAAAGTTCTCAAATTTGGCAGAAACTTCATCCCAATGTCAAGTCCAAAATATTTATTTATTTGCCAGTGCTTCCACTAAGTTAAAAAAGAAAAATAAGTTATGGTACTCAAATAAGCTTTCCTCCCATAAATTGTAAATTACAGAATACATTTATATCATGTCATACCTTCTTCCCCCTTTTGGGAAAAAATATACAAGCCAAGAGACTCATGCCTTCTTCGCATCTCTGGAAAATATTTTGAGCACATAATCAAAGTCAGCAGTAGTAGAAGAAGAGCAAACTCAGAAAGAAAGAATGTAGAAAATAATCCTCAAAATAACAAAATTTATCTCTTAAGACACATCTACAGTAACATAACTGCAATCAGGGAGGACTACAAACAGCGGACCAAGGTATTGAGTTAAGAAAAAATAATCTGGAGTCTTGTGCGTTGCATCTGGTTCGATTTGTCGGGGAGCTAGGTCGAATTGAAGGAAATTATGCTCCATGTTTTCTCCAATTTTGAGGATTGCACCCATTGCGGTAACAATAGTTTGGTGTACCATTTTACCCTCATTTATTTATGTTTCCTCTTTTTTCTATTTAGCCTTGTTTAATTTTCATTCTTATAAGAATAAAAATAAAAAATATAGTCGTTATGAGACTCATACAAGAGAGACGAATTCAAATATGGTAACTTAATGTAATAAATAACGATCATATTTTTTATTTTTTTGGCCAAAAAATGATAAACAAATGGGGCCTTAATGTGGTAAATGTGAAAGTATCATTTTACCCTCATCAAAAATAAAATCTCTACCGGTGATTCAAATGTCTGGAACTTTTACTTCAATTATCCTATAAATTAATAATAGAGTGGGGGAGTAGGTGAGTCTTTATAATAATAGAGTGGGGGAGTAGGTGAGTCACGTGAAACGCGTCCATGCATGGATAATTGTTAATTAATATTTGGGGTAGGAATCTAGTGTACCATATATTAGTAGAAAATAGTAAGAAATTTAATCAAATATTAAACAATTCTACAATGCCCATTGATTGCTGTCAACATTTGTTGAATTAAGTGGCCAGCTTAAATCAATTTAAATACTTTATTTATTTAACTAAAGTACAGTGCAAAATGTAAATTTATAAAATATAACAAATTATATATTTACGTCCTAAATATAAGGTGTATCCGGAAATTTCTCATTAGAATATTAATTGTAAGGTTCCCCATTTAAATTTAATTGTGTTTCAAACCTAATTATCAACTAATAAGTCCATTTTACATATATTGAATTAGACTTATCATATAATCAATACAATATAGCTCATGTTTGATCCTCATTTTTAGAACATATTTTGTAAAAAATGATTTTGTTTTATTTTTAGAATGTGTGATCAAAAAGTAGAAAAAAATTTACGTTTAAGTATAAGATTTTTTTATTAAAATATTATGTGATTGGAAATGAGTTCAAGAAAAAAAGAATATTGAAGAACGGGAGCTTAAACAGAGATTTAATTATCAATAAAAAAAAATGAAATTAGTAATTTGTGTTGGTCCATCGGTGAAAGGTTTCATCCTCACTTACTCGGTTTCTCTTTTTTTTTTTTAAATTACTGTGATTCGTTAGCCTATCTTTTCTTGTGAGGGCCCATAACACTGATACATTCAGATTTTGCTGGTTTACCACTCACATCAGGTGTGTCCCACCTGTATATAAAACTTCCAAAAACTCCACCAACCCCCACGCCCCCCATGTTATGCGTACTCAGGAGGAGTTCACAACCTTTACGTTAAGCAGCGCCCATACATTATTGGCCACATATTGCCCCTTGGAATATATCCAGTGATACAAAGGATAAAGGTGAAGTAGCCTTCAGGACATATCTCTCAGTGATAAAGAGGAGGGCGGATAGGGCTCAGCGCGGCAGTGTGCAGCGGTCGATTCCCCACAAGATGGAATTGACTTTGTTGCAAGCGAGAGTTACCATATGGGTTAACAGCCTTGGCCTATCCATATGCTCTCCACCCTGGCTCCTGGGAGGCACATTCTACGATTTACCTCCTCCACGATGGTCCAGGGCAAGGTCCGTGGGGGCCCTTAAGGTTAGGGTTCAACCTTTTTTTAGGATAAAGGTTAAGTATATTGAATTTTGCTGACAGTCGCAGTGTGAGGGTTCGACTTCTGAAATATGAATTGAGACTTTTTATGGGCACTAATATACGGGCAGCTCTTGTTCCCTAACCTGCTAGGACACATCTCGCTATTAACCCTTCTCACGATACTCCAAGAATGGGACGATGAGGACCTTTAAGTTGGGGTCAACCTTTTATTATTGGCCACATATTATATACGCAGACAGCTAAGACTAAAATTACTATGCACATATGCGTAAAAAAATAAAAGTAAAAATTGCAAACTTGTTTCTCTACATAGATTAAAGATGCCTACCGAATCTGCAATGAATGGAGGGATTGGGACTGAAAGCTATGCGAAGAACTCAAGATACCAGGTAGTTTCCATCTTAATTTTGGGATACCAATAGTTAGCTTGACTTTAAATAAAAAAAATAGTGAATCCATTGTATAAATATGATTTTAATCTGGTTCTTCTGCAGGGAGGAGCGGTGGAGACAGCGAAAGAAATTATAACAGAAGGAATTAACAAAAATCTAGACATCGAAAAGCTCTCCTCAACTTCAGTAGATACTTTTCGTATTGCAGATTTCGGCTGCTCTACAGGGCCTAATACGTTCATTGCAATTCAAACAATAGTTGAAGCAGTACGGAAAAAGTTCGAAACTGAATTATCGGATTCACGAGTCCCTGAGTTTCAAGTCTTCTTTAATGACCGAATCTCCAACGATTTCAACACTCTTTTTGCTTCGCTTCCACCAGAAAGAAAATACTACGCGGCTGGTGTACCTGGTTCGTTTTACGAACGCCAGTTCCCGAAGGACTCGCTTCATTTTGCTCATTCATCGTGTACACTCA